TTGCGTATATGTCACGTTCTTACTGCTCCCTCCATCGATGGTGATACTGCATTCATTTCCGTTCGCAGTGCAATGAACATAGAATATATTGTGGCAAAGCCACTACAGATCCCTCGTTTCCTCAATCGGTAGGACACTTCAAACCACGAGCATCTCGCTCTCATCTGTTAGAAGATGATACACCTCACCCTGTTCCTCAACCGTCTCCTTGTCGCTAACCTCCTCCACGACGCCCCTGCTTGGTAAAAGCACAACTTGGCTCGTCGGGCAGCTGTAGGAGATGCGCCCAAATTTGTTTCATTTTAAGCATTTTCTGGCTGAGATTGTAGTAGGCGTGCTACTCTTCTAAGGCTTCTTCTTAGCGGGGGTGGTTTTAACCTTATCCGAACCAGTTTTCTCAACTCCCTGAGGCAAGCTCCTGTTGGTGTCTCAGATTGTGGGTGGTTATCTGCTCTGTTTCTGTTGTCTTTCCACATTTAATCCTAAGGTATGGACATCTCTAGGTGATCAATAATGTTGCAGTTGCACCACATTGTTGAAGAAGGAGAACGAGTGAAACTGCACCATGAGCTCCTCCACTAATAGGTCTCTTTGCTGCAGGTGGTGGATACTCAGAAAGATATCCTGACGGTATTGAGGAGGTAGACATTTTCTTTGTGCCACCTTTGGCATCTTCTCCCATTTGACAATCTTATCATTGACTTCTTTCTTCCTTCGCCTCTGTAAGTTTTCCCACCACAAGAAGACGTTCTTACTCAATTTGATAGCTTCAACCTTAACACTTTTATCTTCTGACACCTTTATGTACTAAAAAATCCTCTCAATTGATTGTAGTCATTCGATAAATTGACCTATTCTGTCTTCACGTCGTTTGACTCCATGCTTCCATCAAACATTGGTAGATCCACCTTTTCTGTAGTCAATATATCCTCCAAATGATGGCACCTCTCTAAGCTTCCTTTCATATTGGATTCTACAACGCCATGGTCTACTAAAATCCTCCCTAGTGAAGGGGATGAAATTCTAGTCTATTTTGTCTCTTCAACTTTCCCTATCACCATCAAAGGTAAGCCCCCCATGGGTTTCATCCTTAATATCTACTAGCCTCCGCTGAAGTCGACGAAACTTTCGTTGTATCTCTCCCAGGTAGGCTAAGACATGTATCTCCTTTGTGGTATTGTTAGGGTTTAGAGTTGGGAGATAAAAGGTGTAAAAATTGATTTAGAGTTGCTAATCTTGAAAATCAGTAAGGGAAAATATAGTTAGGTCAAAATTTGGCTATGATTTGAAAATAAAAAAGAAAATTTTTGGTTTGAGGGTAAGACGGATGCTAGAAAACCCTAAGATAAAATTATGTTTAATATCAAATGATACCGGAGTTAACCCAAACCATAATAATAACAAAAATATTATTCCTGAAATTCAAATAGGTCACAAAGAAGACCCTTCAAAATAGAAAATAAATGATAACAAACAAAAAAAAACATCCTAAGGAGACAACAAAGAGGAGATATGGTTGTGGCTGGACAGCTGGTAAGGTGCAAGTGGGAGGCAGGACGATATGCGACAACTGGTTGATGGAATAGGAAGGTTGCAGCACATCATGGGAGGTGATGGAGTGGCTTATGGTGGCAGGTTGGGCGACATGAGCGGGATACAACAACAAGGGGGATAGGAAAAATTACGGCACAACAGGAAAGGAGTGGTTCACAGTGTCAGGTTGGGCGGTACAGTAGTATCCACAGCTAGAAACAGAGAAGAGGGGGTAGTGGAGGGAAGTTGGGAAGATAAGTGTCACTGCGAGATCCGAGTTACAACCGGTGCACCCCTTGAACCGTTGGAGAAGATCACCGCCTTGGATGAGTTATAGCCTGAGAATCTTCACGCATTTTGATACAGCCCTATACGGGGAAACAACCATCGAAAGCAAACTCAAGAGAATTATGAAATTAGAAAAATAAAACATATGCCCTAAGATAGCAAACAAATATATTTATAATAACTAGGAGGGGGAGGGGGAGGGGGAGGCGGCAACCTCTGCCCAAAGAAGCACTAGTTGGTCCAGCCTCCTCGCTGGACCATTCCATCCTTGTTGAACCGACTGGTTCAGCCCATAGACGCCCAGCGTCACGGAAGACCCTCAATTTGCGATCCAAACGAAACCAAAGACGAACGAGGCTAATGTTGAAGACGAATGATGACGACGTGAACGATCTGACAAGGCTCTGATACTATGAAAAATGGATGGAGAAACTATATTATCTTATTTCTCAATTATCAAATTACAACTCGTCTACATGTATAATAAATACAGGCTAGGGCAAACTTAATTTCTACCATTACAACTTACCAAAGACACAACAACCAACAAAAGAAAAGAAATACAACATAATAAGAAAATAATAAACAAGAATAAATCTAAAATAGGAAACTCAGAATTCCAAAAAGCCTCTTGGAGGTAGTACTGCCATCTTATTTTGTGCCCAATAACCAATGGATTGGAGAAGCGTCCATGATTGTGAATGTTGCCATTAATGAGTTTCACAATTGGAGGTGGTATGAGCTTTTATCAAATCTTATTCCGTGCTTGATCATAATCACATTTAAAATAGAGGAAGAACAATGAGAACAACATAGACTAACGAGGGATGGATGAAAAGGTCAGAGGTCCATGCTTTGCTGCCATGTTGGAAAAAAATATATAAAAGAGAAATTGTTGTGAGAATAACATGGAGAAGAAAGACTCCTAACACTTATTCAAATGAGCAAGATAAGGAAACTATTTATAGAGATACAAGGACCGATTATGTGGGAAAAGCATGGAAAAGTATTAATTACAAATCAAGGAAAATAAATATATAGTATTAACCTTCTCATAAAGGAAGTTAGATAATAAACAAACTAGGCACCAAATCAAGTAGCAGACAGGCTTCTTCTACGATTGAGCAGGCAGAAATAGTAGGGAATAAATGCAGAGAAAGGAGTGAGCCATAGTCCAGGCATGTTTCCATATTTGAATGGCTTTGATTGTTGCCTCCCCCATTTAAATTTCCTGAATCGGTCCCTGGATTGCGCATCCATATGATTGTTGTCCACCATCATAGATTCTTCACTTTGGACTCCACAAAATAGGCAACCAAAATTTCTTCGAGGTTTGCGCTCGGCAGCTATTCACAATGATTTATGGGATCAGAATTTTCACATTAAGACCAACAATGGAACATTACAATTACTGTAAAATGTGATGCTCACTAAAGGTCTAAAAAAAACTATGAAAACTAAGTACAAAGTCTAGCTCACAAATATGTAAAATCATACAATTAAAAACCGATGCAATGTAACAAGCTTGCATTTTCTATAGAATATATCCAAAACATTTGGCATTTGTGCAACATCAAAGGTTGAGAATCTGTAGTCGATTGTCAAAGAGCATAGAAAATAATAAGGAGCAATAAATAAATTAGTAAATAAAATTTTAAATAATATATCACTGACCTTTCATCATCGAAAAATTTGCAGATATTACAGTAGTACTTTGCCATAGAAAACTCATTGCATGAAGGTGTTTTACATGTTGGCCCAATCGGTTGGACAATTAGACAGCGCATGCACATCATTTCAGTAGTTGCTTTTCTGCAGAAACAAAAGGGGAATGAAATCAAGGCGTATAGTTTCAATATTGTCTCACAATGTTGGGAAAGAACAAATTGAAGAAAACAATTGTTACACGAGAGCAATCCCCAAAATCATGTAAGAACATATGCCAAACAGTAAAATATAAAAACCATAATGTCAATGAACAAGTAATCGAAGTAAAACTGTTGCTACTGAAGAAGTAAATCTCAAGGCTCACATGACAACATGTATCACGAATATTAGAAAGATTAAACAACTCAGCACAGAAAAATGTTCGCTGATTTATTTTACAGTAAAACTTCAAGCAATTAAATAGTGGTATAGATGAACAATAATGCAAAAACGTTTTATAATTTTATTTAAAATATATTATTGACATTATATAAAAGATTTCTTTTACTTTCCTTTTGCCTTAGATGAAATTTATAATAACAATTTACGAAATCTTGAAATTGCAATGTCAGCTAAAACTGCCCTGACTCTTATGATATCAATATCTCTCACTGATTAATCCAATCTTCAATCAAAAGAGCGAATGTTAAAAAATGGCGCATCTACAAATGAAGGAACCAAGCATCTAAGATAATTGGGCCATTGTAATTCAGCATACAATTAAAGTATATTCATTGATGATTTAAAAGGAAAGTCATGATCATTTAAAAGTGACCCCCTGATAGGAATAAAAATTGCCGTCCCGGTGAGAATTTTTCATTTTTTATGTTCATAAAAACACATTTAATTCAAAATAGGGTAAGAAAAAGTCCACTAATTATAGAGTTAATTCAAGTAAGCATACGCTACTAGTGCGCAAGCACCATTATGCAGCTAATGCTTGCAAAAGAGAATTAATACGAACAATTTGTTTTGTTAGTAATGCTTACAGAAGATTATAATATTTGCAAATAGTGTCATAAACTTTTAGATTAGCAGACAGCAAAGGTAATAACTTGTATATCCCGCATTGAGAAAAGAATATTTGTGTACAAGACTTACAAGAGAGCTTATAAATCTATGAGGACAAAACAAGGAAAAAAATTACTGAGAATTATAAACTTAATTATGAGAATATGTTTTGAAAATAATCTCATAATTATTAAGAATTCTACTAATAGATTAGCACATACTAAATACATTAACATTTCTCATCAAGGTGGAGAATATATATCTACGACCTCCAACATATTACATAAATAAGGAATAAGAATAAGTCGTAGATCCGTGATAAGAATATTTATCATTTTTTTATGAACAGGGTAAATGAAAAAAAAAGTTCTTAAAAAGCAAGTCTTGCGTACAATGACAACTTATTTCAATTTGTGTAGTTCATTCATGAAAAATAAGATTGTTCGCTGATTTTATGTTGAGTAACATAGAAGTCAAAATCTTCTATTAGAGTTTTAATACATCATTCAGTATTTTAAAAAAGTTGTAGCTCTACATTTGACTTTGTTGACCTCATTTTGAGGTCATTACTCTTTTCCTTAGGATCCTAGGATCTAGCCCCAGGGATTTGACTTTGTTGACCTCATTTTGAGGTCATTACTCTTTAACTTAGGATCCTAGGATCTAGCCCCAGGGAATCCTATTGACTATTTCAGAAAACTGGAACTTGGACCCGCTCTTTTTAGAAATTTCAGCCACTTCTTGTTTCTCTTGTGATGTCTCGCATTGATGATCATAAAATCATCGTCCTATGGTCGACTGATAAAGGACTATCATGTGGAGGCTCAAGGAAAAGTTCCCAATAGGATCTCAAGCCCTAGGAAAACCTCTTCAGGAATTTATCATCACACACATACAAAATGCACAATAATAGGATCTCAAGCCCTAGGAAAACCTCTTCAGAAATTTATTATCACACACACAAAATGCACAATTTCATTAAGTTGCACAAGATCGGACTAGAATTGAGCTTAAGGATGGGTGAAAATACGAACTTCTCCAAACAACATTCGATGGCAAAATGGACTGTGTCAGCGCGTTTGGGACACCAATTTTAGCAAGAAAAGACACATATTATCATAATTTCGCGAGCAAGCAAATTTCACGTAAATCGATGAATTTATCAAACGACCTCCAACGACGAAACAGACCATGCCAATGTGTCTGGAACGTTAGAAATACCTAAAAAGGGCATTTAATTTTCTACAATCTGAC